AAATTAGACATTTCCAGGAGATCTCCTGGGACTCTTCCAACTCCCCTGGGAAACGGAAAAAACTCCTGGGATTCCCAGGGCTTGTTTTTACCGTGAGCGCGCCCGCGGGGGACGCTGGCGATCTTTCCCTCGGCGCGCCGCTCAACTTCGGCGTCGAGCTCTGGTCCTGGAGGGTTGCGGGACTCTAGACCAACGCGGCCGCGGCCATAGAACTGCACGCCTAGAATCACAAAAGAGAATGTCGTCACTTAGAGGTGCAATGTGGGGGAAGTAGCCATAGCCCGCGCCATAGCCTCCCCCATATGAAGTTCGCAACAAAGCTTGCACGGCCAAGTAGTTGTTCTCGGGTTCAAGTCGCCATTTGGTGTGCTCTGTTGGTTTCGCAGGTGAGGAGTGCATGATGAGCTCGGAGTGCGACATCCACAAGGGACTTTGCTGTCAGTTCCAGAGGCGACACCGTCAGGCACCCAGGAAGGTGAGTTGAGCTCCGTTGGTCCCCACCCCACCCCCAAGCCGCTAAGCCCCATCCCAAGGGGAAATTTGAGCCCTGACTGTCACTATCATCACATCAAAATGGTCCCTCATCCTGGTGCCATTGTGCCATACAGGGTGGTCCACAGGCCCCTTCCTTCATTTTGCTTATGCTGCACCGCCTGCAGTCGTGCGAGCGGGTGTGCATACTCACACGGGGCCGTAAGGCGCAACGGCGAGCTAGGGTAGGCAAGCCCGTCCGCACGCCTGCATGCGGTACAGTATAAGCCGAATGAAGGGGTCTGTGGACCACCCTGTATGTCGTCCACAAATCAAATATTGGTCACAATTAAAGTCATGGCTCAAATACCTCCTTCGGCCACGCCCGATTGCTACAACTCTCGACGCTCGTGCGCAGGTTTGCTCCTACTTCAAGGACCCGCTCATCTGCATCGGACCCGTCGCATCGGACCAGGTCAAGGAGCTGGACATCGAGCACACGGCAGGGGAGAAGCGGCTCACCGGGCACGCCAGCGGTGGACCAGCCGCCTTCAACCACATCCGCCGTTAAGGAGGGGGAGCCACGGCAGCGTTGCACCCACTCTCGCCCCCTACCTTCCCCTCCACAACCTTCCCTCCCCCTCCCCGAGTAGAGCACGGAGTGTGTGACAGTGGCAGCGACAGGGGAGTTTGTCGCCAGGACGGGGATGCGACCCGCCTCGTGTAGCTCTAGCAAAACGAAAACAATACGAAGAAAGTGTTGGAAAGTGGCTGGTTCCACACTACTCTCGAGTTAAATTTAGTTTACCAAAAAGGGTATGCATAAACTGCTTATAGAAAATTTGTTCAGACAAATAACAAACACCTGGGGCTGCTACTGTCACATGGGAAAACAAGAACTTCTGTCTTCTATATTCCCACGATCATAGCGTGTAATGAGAGTAAAATTACTGTCTCATAATTGGTAGTACAACTCTGACATAAGACATATCATTGGCACATATCTATCCGATTTAAGAGAGATGATAAGACTTGAGGCGATAAGTTTATGAGAAGAAATGAAGTAATTGAATAGATCAGTGATGTGGTGTCATTTTGCACAATTCAAGAAACTGAAGAAACTCAGCCTATTAAAAAAAAAGACAGTCACTAATTCAGCGCAGAAGTAGTTACAGCACTACATCCCTGACTGTATGAGATGGACTCTGTCGGATATGCACTCTATTGATCAAACATATCATATGTTTATAGATTTGAGTATTTGTAAGCAAAACTGTTTTGATGTCCCATTATTTTCAATGCAATTTTGCGTTTAGATCAAAACTCTGTGAGTAGGGATCTCATGTAACTTAAGAATATGTTCTGAGGATAAAAATTTACAGCTCTTTAACGTTCAATGAGCCCTCACAACATAATCAGCTTGTTTTGTACCTTGACCTTTTCATTGGTATAAAAGCACTGGTGTTCCTTAACATATCATATTCTTTACAAAGCAAATCTGCTGATCTTAAACTTAGGTATAATATTTCTATTGAAAAAGCTTAGCACGACATAGCAAAAATTGCTCTTGAGAACTACAAATAAATATC